CGAGCCGAGCCGAGCCGAGCCGGGCCGAGCCGAGCCGAGCCGAGCCGAGCCGGGCCGGTCGGTGTCGGCCGTGAGGCGGCGGAGCGGCCCCAGGCCCGGCCGAGGCGGCGGCCTGACCCCCGTTTCCCGCCCCGCTCCCGTCGGTTCCGCGCGTCTGCCCCGAGCGTTTGGAGACGCGGGAAGGCGTGGAGCGAAGGCGTGCGGAAGCGCCCGGGAGCCCCTGCGGGTGAAGGGGGTTCCTGTGGCCTGAGGTGGAGGCAGGCAGGGCAGCGCAGCGCCTCGCCCCGCAGCGGCCCCAGTGCACAGCGGCCGAGGGGAGGCTTCTTCGTGCGTGGGGGCCTGGCCACTCCGGTTTAACTCGGAACGGCGGCGTTCGGAAATAGAAAGGCGTCGGAGCTGGGCTGCGTGTGGGGGGGCGCTGGGGGGCGGCTTTCGCCTTGGGGGCTCCGCACCCGGAGCAGGGCCGGAGCCCTTCCCGTCCAAAGCGCCAGCCTTTCCCTGCAGCCTGGTGTGGCTCCAGCTTGTGCAGCTCCGTCCGCTGCTGGCAGGCAGACCCTGCGCGCCCCGGGCCCCGCGTTCTGCGCCTCTGACCACGAAGGAGACAAGGTGTTTGTCTTGTCTCTTGTAGCAGCGGGAGCTCTGAGCCGCACGGATTCAGGATTCTGAGTCACGGATTCAGGTATACTGGTAGCACACAAAGGTGGATGTCCTGCTGTTGGGAAAGGAAGCCGTAAATATATGTCCTATAAGTCCTGCAGGCCCTGGAGCATCTAAATGTGAATGAGTGTCCGCCGCCTTCAGCAGCGTGTCGAGTTGGGTGGTGGTGACTGGAACCCCTCAACTAAATGTCCGTCTTACCAAGCAAACAGTGTGAAATGATGAAATCCATGACTTGTGGACTGTTTTTTCATTTTTCTTTGTTTTTACATGCGTAGGTGCAGCCATGCAGGACGGTGTGCGTTTCGCTTCCTCGGGAGAGGACATAAAGATCTGGGACTCCTCCTCTGTGACCGTGGTGGAGCAGTTCAGCCCGCACGCGGCGCCGCATGCCGTCAGCTCGCTGTGCTGGGCCAGTAACAGTATCCTTTGCTGCTCATAGGCGTAGTCCTCTGGTTCCAAATCTGCAGTGATTGTTTTTGCTTAATTATTACTGAATTATCTCTCGGTTGACAGCCTTTCTCTGGTTTTCCTGAAAAGTCTTGCATAAAAATACTTACATTTTTAGATCTTTAGAGAAGAATCTTTTCGTGGCTGCCTGTGTTTAAAGAATTTACAGAATAAACTCATGCTGGTAAATGCCTCTGCAGACGTTCGCCTTCCTTCAGGAGGCTAACACATTTTTAATGGCTGTGATATGCTTGAATTGCCCATCAGCAGCAAAACTTGCTCATTTGTTGCTGTAGTGGTTGATTACAGTCTCTGTGTTCAAGCAGTGCTTAATTTATTGATAAGGTTCAGCAAAGCAGTTGCTAATGCAGTAAGATCCTGTGTATAGTGTAAAGAGGAAAAGTGTGGGGAACTTTGTTTTTAAACACCTTCTTGCTGATCCTGTGAGCAGGAATGTCTCTTACTGTCCTTAAGTCTCTTACTGTCTAAGCGCTGGTTTTCTGAGCCCTCTTTGCAGCATTTGTGGGGCCTCCCTGTTGTAAAAAACACATCTCCCCAGATGTGTTTTATCCATCCATCCATCCATCCATCCATCCATCCATCCATCCATCCATCCATCCATCCATCCATCCACAGCATTGCCTTGTCTGCTCCCTGTAGACCTTTCACCTGTGTCTTGGAAGCCTGCTATGGGATAATGATACGTGATGCCAAGTAGGATATGAACATAGGAGAAATTGCGTGGAAGTGGAGCAGGGTCAGGTGAACAGATATGTGTCTGTCTTGGGGAAAAAGCCAAAATGCCTCCTCTTGATGTAAAAGAAAGGCAGGATGCTGAAAATAAAAATATGTGGCCTCAAAGTTCTGAATGCCTCCCTCCCCTGCAAGGGAGGGAGTGTGTGAGAAGGCAGAAGTTCCACAGAGCACAAATTAATGCTTTGGCTATGGAAATTCCAAAGAAATTGGAGCACAGTAGAAAGTGCCTATTTAGTATATGTTGTTTAGTAAACTTGAGCTATAGACAGTCTGCTTGTGACTCCCAGAGACTGAAATGCCTGTGGTGCTCCGTGTGTTTTACAGGTGCCTGGTAATTTGTTATGGCCAAGCGGTGGTTCTGCTTTTAGCGGCGCCTCTTCATAATTTTGTAAGCTAAAATGTGGTCTGAAAATGATGGAAGAAATAGCAAGCACTGATATGTCTGCTAGTTCTTGTGGAGGTAAATCCAGCAATTACCCTTTCTTCTAACGTAAACCAGTATAAAATCATTATGGGTATTGGCCTAAAGATCCACGGGCATCTGAAGATGTGAGTGATTACTCAACTAATGCAGCGTAGGGGCAGTGGTAGTTTTCTTGCATCTTGAGGAAAGCAAAGAAATTTATTTCTGGTTACCTGTAGTTCAGTGTCCGTGCAAATTTTGTGTGTGGGAGATTCTAAATCCTGCTGTGTGTCTTTTTCAAAAATTAAGCCAGTCTTTCTGGCAAACCTGCCTCTGCTGCAGGCTTTTTTCCTTCTTTGTCTCAACTGTTTGGTGTGTCATAAAGGCTTTTTCTTTTTTTTTCTTTTTTTCTTTTTTTTTTTTTTTAATAATCCTCAATACAGATGAGGCTATCCATATCCACATATCCATGATACTGCAGAAACAATGTGCTGAACTCGTGCAACGTTTATTATGGACAGGACTTCTATTTAAATTTGTAGTCTGCTAAAAGCAACAGACTTTCCTTGGAGCCCTGGTGCTAAATGGAGCTCATACTTTGCAGTGTGATCATTGGGTAGGGGGCGGAATGTGCAGCCTGGATAAGATCTCTGCCTGGCAGAAGGGAGATCCTGGATAACATCTGCCAGATATTTTCTCTGTTTCCCGAAAGAACTCGTGCTGTTGGGAAGGAAGGGCGGGAATTGCTTTGGGGAAGGAGTGGGGGCAAACTGTCTCTGAGATCTTCTTAATGAAGGTTTTTTTACAACGGCCTGCTTTTAAACAGCCTCATGTTTCTGCTTTTCCCCCCAAATACCAAATGCAAAATATTTCTAAAGCATGTAAATCTCTTCAAGGTTCCAGGCCCTTTATCCCTTCTGTTGCCTTTTAATAGGGAGACTTATTGTTGCTTTTACTACTCAGCCCTGGTGCACAGTTGTGCTCCCTGACTTGTGCCTAAGACAGCTTCCTGGTCACTGCCTCCGCTGCTGGGGATAAGATAGTGGTGTCGAGCTGTAAAGGGAAACCTTTCCCGCTCTTCGAAGTAGCTGAAGGAGTAAGTATGTTAATGCCTTCCCCTTTTGATCCATCCCACCCTGTGTACTGTTTGCACCTCACCTGTTCTGCCTGCCACTTCAGCTTTAGTATTGGTCCCAGACATACCTCAAAACCTGGAAGTGTTTAAAGGTTTATGGTTGACACTTCTGAGAGGAGAGGTGGGGAATGGTGCCTCTGAAGTGGCTGCAGCGGTGGAAAGCAAGTTGCAGTTACGCAGCCCTGGCGCTCGTGGCTCCCCAGCAAGGGCAGCCCTCGGGTGACACGGTGGCTGGGGATGCAGGCTTCGTCTAGCCCGTGTAATCAGAGCTGAACTTTCAACCAGATTTTCAAGCTTAAATTGTCCAAGGTTGCATGCCTAGGAGTTCTGCATGTGTCTAAAACACAGGAGTCTGTATAACGATGATTCCTGTGCTGTACATGCACTGGCTTCTGTGAATACGTGGTGTAGCAGAACCTTGGGAGAAGCACAGCACTGCTTGGCTTGGCTTTAGAATGTGTCTCAACGTGGCTACTTCGATGACTTGTTGGGTGCTATGAATTATGCCAGTTATTCTTCTCGGATAATTATTGTAGAGGTAGTTTGGAATGGGAATGCTCTGAAAATAGGTTAAAACTGGGCTTTTGGGTGGCTACAGCAAACACTTTCAAAGGTGTAGTGTTTGCCGTAGAGATTTCCTTCAACCTTATGTAAACCTAAAGCAATTGCTTCCAGATTTTGCCGTGTGAATAATTAGTTGGACCTGTGTTTTTCTTATTTCAAACCTCAAGAAGTTAAAAGTGAATTTTCAACATGATAGAGCTGAATAATTTGTCCTCCATATAGGTCTGTCATTAAGATTGACGTTTTTTTCCCCAAAGTTGGCACTTCAGTGATCACTTTAAAAAGGAGCACTTTGGTGAATTACGAAGTTTGCTGCTATAATATTCTTTGTAATGTTTAGGAAATGTGAAGAACATGACCTAGACAACTCTTTAATATTCTTTTAAGGATTTTTTTTCCCCCCTAAACCTAAGGTTTTCTTTTTAAAGCTCTATAGCTTAATAGAAATCTATGATTGCAGTTTAAAGAACTGTAATTTGAAGTGAAAATGCATATTGAAGAAAACAGAACTAAGAGAATTTGGAATAGGGATGGGAAAATGTGAGAAGCGCCATTGAGCATTTGTTACTTTGTGTATTTAAATTTCCATGTATCCAAACATGGTCTGGATTTTTAATTGCTTGTTGATGGGAAGTAACTGTAGTGTGCCAATAGTTTTGTCAGTCACCTTAATAAAGGTGAAAATATGTATCAGTACACCTCTAATGGACTTGAGTAAACCTCTTAATTCTCTTTGACAAGTTGTCTGGTTTTGTTTTTTTGCAGGCGAAGCAGACGTGTGTGACTTTAAGTTCCAGCTGTTTATACATTGCAAGCGGAGGCCTCGACAGCTCTGTCAACATCTGGGATCTGAAGGCTCGCAGGCTCTACCGCAGCCTCAAGGTGACACTCGAGCGTTGCTGCGTGGCTGCAGGAACAGCCGTAGCCTCTGGAACTCCAGGCTTTGGCTCTTTGTCTGGATCACAGATCCAAAACAAGTTCTCAGACAGGGGCGAGCACACGTATAGGTCTTGTTTAACGTCGGGCTCTCTATGTGCTATAAACAGCAATCTGATTTTAGCAACTGTGCTCGGTGTCTAGACTTGGTGTCTTCGGGATATAAGGCTATCGAATCTTTAAACCTTCAGAACAGATTTTTATTTTGAGAATTGGAACTGATGGTTTCTGACAGGCATTTTTCAATTCAGGTAGCTGATACCAGGAAAAGACCTTTTTATGTGTAGGATACTCAAGTTCTCTTGAAAAGAACTGAGCTTCTGTTACTTGAAATTGCTTATGCAAGAACATAAGTGCAAAAATGGGGTTTGGTCAGTAACTGATATGGTGAATTCTCTAAAATTTTGCCATGCTGCACAAAAGTGATGTCAGTCTAGTTTATTTTCCTTGATACCATGAATTGATTACTTCATTGATCTAGGATCACAAAGATGCTTTTGAATTTTAGCTACATTTTTTTTCTTAGGCAGTTTAGAGTTTTAAATTAAATTACTAAGTAATTCGTAAAATTACCAAGTAATTATATAATCATTTAAATATCCTTTTTACCTTTGGGGTCTGGAAATACGTGACTGTTTACCATGTATATGGAGGAAGATACTATAATCATTTGCAAGGAAGATACTGTAAAGCTATTTGGTGGGTATGTGCATTACAGGTAACATCAGAGGGACTATGCCAGTAGTATATCAGATCAATAGAAAGCATTGTAAAATGTGTTGGTTTAGGAATGATCTAGCTTTTAAATTACCAATGGTGCATGTGGTAGAGATCTCTCTGGTTGTCGTCTTAAAATACTGCATCTAATGAAAGCATCATCTCTGGTAATTTATTAAAACAACCTTCTGAAAACAATCCCAGAGACACTGGTTAAAATATAAAGGCTGATCTCACAGAATCACCTGTATCTTTTGTTATTCTCTGGGATAATACAGAATAATCCTCAAGTAATCTTTGAGAGAGGAGTCTGGAAGAAACATCGAACTGAAGTTTTCCTACAGAAAATGTGTGGGGAAAGAATATAATTTTCCTGAAGCTCACTAACCCTCTTTCCCCTCTCCACCCTACAGGATCACAAAGATGAAGTCACGTGTGTTACGTATAACTGGAATGATTGCTACATTGCTTCTGGATCTCTGAGCGGGGAAATTATTTTACACAGTGTTACAACCAACTTATCAAGTACTCCCTTTGGTTTTGGCAGCCGTCAGGTAGGTTGTATGTGTTGAATTACTATCAGATTTTGGAGTGTTTTCCCTCACTCTACTCAAAATGAAAGTTTAAAATTGAATGTATGCTTTGAGAGCTCTTCTGCTTTTGAAATAACCTTCAATATGGTTATCTTTTTTGAAATAACCTTCAATATGATTATCTTTTACAATTTTGTCTACCTGTTTTCTTATATTATTTTTTCGTAAAAAGTGCACTTATGGGATTGAGAAAGCAGGCTTTCGGGTGAATTGTAATCTTAAATAAGAAACATAACATTCTTCAGGTACATTTTCTTTTTTATATATAGTGAGCAGCCAGTTTTAGTTTATGTAGGCTCTAGGCTCTGCTGCTGTAAGGACAAACTTCTACACATCTTAGAAGTGAACAGAAAATAGCCAGCCTTGCAAATCTGAACAGAACCTCAGTGCTCTGCTGTGTGCCTGTGGTCATGAAGAACAAAGTGCACATAGGTGGACATGAGTGGATAAATTCTGACCTATCCAGAGAAACCAGATCTACAAGTGAACAGAATCATCTGTACTGTAGGGAAGAATATAAACCTGCATTTGAAATAAGTTAAATGCATTTAATCAGAGGTTTACAGTTGTACAGTTGCTCAAGAGTAAAAACATTGAGATTTTTGGTTGGCTGCTTATGTTGAACAACTGTAGTTTGAAGGAAAACTGTGCAAGGGGGGGAAAAAGGCACATGTGCTGCTTTGGGGCCTTGGCAGTGGTTCCCACTGCAGTCCTTTTCTGCCTGGCCCACAGACACTGCAGGAATGGTGGTACCGTGAGGGGAACTGCCTCGATACAAGGACTTCTGTAGCAGCAAATCATCTGGGTTGACTCTTTGGAAGATGGAGAGTGAATGTGGTCTTAGGCACAGGCAAGAGTTTGTGCTCCGGGCATTTTTACTTATTTTAATTTTAGGTCTTTTTTAGAGAGGCAGAAGCTGCCTGGGGGGTGACAGTCGTTGCTTTTGTCCTAACCCTGACCTTTTAGAGCTGCAGAGAGCACTGGAGTTACGGTTTGCTTGTCCTCGGTTACTGTGAGTGCTCTTTCATTCCCACAATGTCCCTTTTTTTTTTTTTTTCAATGTTTGCCATTGAACACTATAGGTTGATGAAGAATATTTAGAGCATCACAGGCTTTGTGATATTCTTTGTATTGAAAAATCCCCATTATAATCAGTGTATGCTTTTGGGTCCTGCAGTGTCCTTGATATTTACTGTAGTTTCGTATTTGTATTGAAGCAAGTTTGTACTTCATACCTAACCTGATCTTAAAGATCCATTATGTAGCAACTTCATTTTCCTGGTTTGATTATTATCAACTCATGAAAAAAGTGGCTGTAAGACAAAGGCTGCAGAAAGACCCAGAGCTGGATTATAGAGCTAAGGTGAATTTGCAGAGTGGGGATTATGCTGCTGCTTAATGGGAATTTTTAAAATTCTTTTGAGAAAGATTCATCATCCTCTTTAATATATTCAACTCTTTCTACCAAAAAGTGGGTAGGAATAAGTGATGCTGTGAATAGCTATTTTGGCAGAGGTTTACTATAAAGTTAAGTGATCTTTAAGATGGCTGAAGATATTTGAAGTGTTAAATCCCAGTAATTCCAAGTGCAGAGATGTTATTCACTTCCTAGCATCTATAGCAATTTCTAGAAGCGGGCAGTTACTGCATTGAAGCCTTAAAATGGCATTGAGTTGTAATTGTGTAATGTCAGGGCTACTTGAAAATTCTAGTTTATGAGCCTATCTTGTTTTCTAAATGGTAATTTTACTTTGATGTGTGAAATTTGCTATGTTTTTAATTTAAAATTTTGGGGGAACCTTTATGGAATTGCTGAATCGATTGCTCAGTGAGGTAAATAACTGAAGAGTTGGATACTTCTCATATTTATAGAAAAAAAAAGGTGTGTGAGGGGGAGAGAGAGAGGGTGTTCATGATCAAAGAATTTATAGCTTAGGGGACCGATGGTTGTAAAACACTGTCTTGCTTATTGCTCCTGCCTGGCTTAATAAGGGTTGTGGCTCTGTATTAACTTCTTTTCCTGCCTTGATCGGGGAATGTGAGCTCAGACTAACCTTAGCCTGTCTCTGCTTGATTCAGCACAAAGGAATGTAGTTTCCTTGCCAGTTAATTTCTGTAATCCTATGGGCTCTACAAGAAGTAGAATAGCTCAAGATTGTGGTGCTTCCAAAGGCTTTAAAAGACTTTCTTTTCATAGAATTCAGTTGAGAGTATTGGCCTATAGTCTGTTAATTGATTTCGATTTGGAAACATCCGTGTGCTTTATCAGAGTAAGCTCTTACACAGACTTGTTTGTAGATCCCATAGTTTCTTTGCTGCTGGTATTCATTAAGACCACCAGATTCTTATCTGCTTGCTGTTGTGAGGGTGAATTAAAGTTTGGTTTGAAACACAGGGTTTGTCCGAGTCTTCGCTCCCTGGTGCTGCTCTCCTAGCAACACAGTTGAGTCTGGCTGTTTGAGCAGCTGGTCAGTATGTGAAGCTATGGGATATGGGATGGTGCTGCTCGCTCCTGGCGGGGAGATAGGCTGAGCTTTTCAAGCTGTCCACCGTGCTCACATCTACCCTTCACCTATAAGGCTTGCTAAGGTATGAAAGAGCTAAAGCAGCTCTGGTATCTCAGAATAAGTTAATCTATGGTGCTAGACTGGTTTTGATTTAGTTTCAGGCTTTTTTATTTGTTTTCCAATGGAGAAAAGCCCTGAGTACAAGCAACCCTGTTCAGTAATGAACCAGTCATTTTCTGTATTTCTCCTAATTTTCTGTTTTAACATGAAGCTTAAAGACAGAATGTACTTGATCTTTGCAGAAACTCTGCAGCAGTCCCAGCTAAGGCAAAAAGCTGTGTGTGGTTTCTTGAGCTACACCGACGAGGAAGGTGTTTGAAAGAGGGCTTCAGTCCTTTTTTTTGCCAGTTCAGCACCATGTGCTAAACACGTTTCTGGAAGTTCTGTCTGTGCAGAATTCCAGGAAATCATCAGGAGTTGCCCTTGCAGAAATGCAGTGCTTGCTGAAATGTGGTGAACTTGCTTCATATTTTTTTTTCTTCTTTTGCAGTTTTGAACAGTTAGTTCTAAGACATGACAGGTTTCCATTACTTGTGAATTCTCAGTGGAAGATGCTGCTTCTTTGTGGAGCAATGAGGCTTGCAGTGTGACACGTAATGACAAGTAATAGAAGTGCTAGAAATGAGGTTGGAGGCATTTGAGGCACAAATATCTCCAGTAAAATGAAGGGGAAAATGCAGTAAAATCCAATGCAGTACGTTGTGATGTGAATCATGCCAGAATAATACTGTGGATTTTCTAGACAAATAAAATGTGATAGTTTTTATTCTAGTACAGACAGATAGTAGTTTTGATTCAGTACCATCTGAAAAAAATTTTAGAGGGGATGGAGGGTAGAAAAGGAAATGAGGATGAAAGACAGTAGGTAGCATTGAAAGGTCAGTTATCTGAGTCTGAGTTATCAGCAGCTGATCTTATTTGATATTTTCAATAATGATGATTTTTTAAGAAGGAGGGATATGTTGATGCCAAGTGCAAAGATGCCTAAAAGAAAAAGCATTATCCAAGATCCAGTCCAATATCCAAAAAGAATCGAAGAAATGGGCATGAGGCAACTGTGACGCTACAGAAGTCAAGCCCCAGGCTGTAGGTCATAGCTGAGGCTTTCAGTATTAGTCCTAGGAACTGAAAATTCACCACGGAAGGAAAAGAGAGACTTGGGGCTTATAAAAAGGCAGCTAATTCCAATAGAGCTTGAACCACACAAAAGAAAATGCCATCGAGGATGTGTTAGGAGAAGTATTTATGGCAGAAAAGGAAGCCTTGTTGCCGTCGCAGAGGCAGCAGTGAAATGTTTGGAGTGTCGTGTGCGATGCGGGTTGGCTTTGTTCAAGTACAGTCCCTATTCAGAGAGCTGCAAGGAGGCTGTGGTGGCAATGAACCTGGCTTAGACTGAGTCTGTCGCCTTGTCTTTTCCAGAGGGCTGTGTGTGAGGCGGGGGTCGTTGGTCGGTTGGTTTCAGTCCTACCCCTTACTTTCGGGTGTCGTGTACACTGATGAGCACAATGACACAACCCCTGTCCCCGCAGCAGAAATGGGCTCCAGTTCTGTACAGTGACTGGCCTTTGCCTGGTTTGATTTGTAGTAAAATCTATGTTCCTAATGTGTGGGAACATTGCCTTTCCCTATATATTCCTATTTTTTGTTTAATATTTAATACTACTGTAAGAGTTCATTATTTCTGTCCATTTTTCAGCCTATTCGACACCTGAAATACTCCTCCTTTAAGAAATCTTTGCTGGGCAGTGTTTCTGACAGCGGAGCTGTGACGTTGTGGGATGTGAATAGTCAGAACCCATATCATAATTTTGAAAATACTCATAAAGCACCAGCTTCAGAAATCTGCTTTTCTCCAGTCAATGAACTGCTGCTTGTCACTGTCGGTTTGGATAAAAGAATTATTCTCTATGACACATCAAGTAAAAAGTGAGTATATTGAAGTCCTTTGAATTTCTAAGATGATTATTTACCTTTTATTAATTGAAACAATGTGTTCAACTATGGCATTAAGCATTGAATAAGGAAGCAGGAAACAGTGGTTGTGCAGGTCATGGGGCTGCACAGTGAAAGGGTGGCAAGGCAAAGGGAGGGTGTCGTGGGACTTTGGTTCTCTTGTGGGACGTCCCTTTGCTCTAGCTGAATGAAAGCAAGACTTAATCTGTAGTTTGAAGGGGTTTAGTAGGGGGATATGAACTAGGATCTGAAGTTAGTCTCAGAGCTCGTGTGATGACACCTGTAAGTATCAGTAGATATCAGAAGTGCTCTTAGGGAGGTAATTTGATCCTGTCCTGGTGAAATATTTTGGGACGCACACAACTTCTTCATTTGTAAAACAAAAACACTTAGGACCAACCTAATGTACTGTTCCTTGAGATACTCCACTGATTTTACCTGGTCCCGAAGAAGCTGAACTGCCAAATGGTAGCTGCATTAGGAAAGCTCTTCTTTTAGGTATTTTATTTTGAAAAGTCTCATCTTAAATTTCCTGTCTTGGTAATGAACTCTAAAGCCTCTTTATCTTTTTTTCCTATACAAAGATTATTGACAACAATAGTAGCTGAATTTCCTCTGACAACAGTAGACTTCATGCCTGATGGTACTACTTTGGCTATAGGGTGTTCCCGGGGGAAAATTTACCAATATGACTTAAGAAAACTGACATCACCCGTAAAAACAGTAATTGCTCACAAAGGCTGTGTGAAATGCATACGTCTTCAGCACAGTAGCACTTCTTCCAAGGTAAAAATAAATTAAGTGTTTTATTTTATTTTTAGTATATAGCTTAATGAAAACAAAACAAATTTAAGGTCTGAAAAACACTAGTATTCATTTTCTGAACATCATTGAACATCATAGTTGCCAACAAAGGTGATGCATACAGATAAAGAAATAAAACCTATTCCATCTTAAATGCTTGTTTTATTTTATTTTATTTTATTTTATTTTATTTTATTTTATTTTATTTTATTTTATTTTATTTTATTTTATTTTATTTTATTTTATTTTATTTTATTTTATTTTATTTTATTTTATTCAGAGCTTTCCTAAGATTTCCTTTTTCATATTTGCAACCTAGAGTCGAGTGGGACTTACAAAGTCATCATAAGCTTTGGTGTGTGAATAAGTTACTATTGCAGATCAACCTGTGGCACCTAAGATTCATTTGCGAGCGGTAGCGGAATCACTTGTACTGCCCCTTTCACAAAAGGACAAGACACAGAGCTGTTGCTCTTGGGTACAGACACCTGTAAAACTTGGAGAAATTGATTAAATAAGAGTTGAATTTAATTAGTTTTTGTTAGATCTGGCAAACCTGATGAGGTTCTTCCAAGAATAAGTGGGCTCTGCTTGAAACAAAAGCCTCACATACTTATTCTTGGTAGAAAGACCATTCCAAATGGAATCATCAGCTCTGAGGCTTTTAAAAAGCTAGTGTTCTGTTTTTCCTAAGACTAAGCCTAGGATGAAAATTGGCTAGATCCATTCATTCCGTTGTTGCTTTAAGGTCTGTTGATACCCTCTTGCAAGTCCATAGGATACTCACATAATAATACAGAAAGCTGTCACATGAAGATATGTCCTTTTATGTTTCTAAAGAGAAGTTGAGACGTTAGATGAATTTTACAACTTGAAGTCTTCTAGTGTTTTGAACACAGACTATTGGTTTGTATTTCTACTTTTAGCTGAATGAATAATCTTAATTCTTTATGCTTTCTCTTCAGTCTAACCTTAAGGGTTCTTCAAATAAACCTTTATCAAAGAGAGCAGAAGTCAAATCTGGTATTAATCTTGGAGGAATTCAAAATATTGGCATAAAAAATACGACTTCTCATACATCCTCAACAGTTTCACCTCATCTTACTCTGCCAAATGAGAATAAAGGAGGAGATGGTCATCTGGACAAAACAGGTAGCTTCTTCTGTTCTTGAAAACCTTTGATGTAAATTAGAAGATAGAAGGAATATTTTCTGCCTTGCCCATCAGAGTATAAAAATGAATCAAGGGATGGACATTTGTTGCAGAGGTGTGCTTGAATGCACATGCATTTATACAGTCTTCTGCCTCCCTATTTATCTCCTTCCTTGTAAGGAGAATGTGGGAAGGGAATTGGGTCCTACTTGTCAGTGTTTAGAAACTGTGGCTTCAAGTCCAGAATTTAACATATATATTTGAGCTTTAAAGGAGAAAACTATGGTGCATGGGGATATCTCTTGTGTTTTGATGTGTAGATTATCCTTAGATACAGAATATGATTTCTGACACAAAGTCCATGTGGAACGGAGAGCTAATGGTTTGTGGTTCTATCAATAAACAGGAATGAAGGACTCCTTGTATGAAAAATTAGAGATGTTACTACTTGTATCTGAGATTTTTTTTCAAAATAAGGGAACCTGACTGTATTGCTGTATGAGACATGATTCCACCATCCCATGGTAGGAAAGATGTTTAATACAGTTTGCAAGTTGGGTTAGTTGTGCAACTCTGCTTGCTACCTATACTTCTGAAGTTAACAAGCTCTTTATAAACTGTCATTATTCTTAAATTCTTAAGTTTTAGGAGTAGATTTTACAATTTAAATCAAGAATTCTGAAAATATTGTCAAATCAGTCAGGCTGTTTGTTAGTTTTGGGTAACCTTTCAAGTCATTTGAATTCAACAGCACTTTTTCCTCCCTCCTTAAGTAAGGAGAAATACATTTAGCGGCACTAATTAGGCAATAAGCCATTGCAGTCCATAGGGACACAGATTAATGACCTCCCTTGGGTGCGCGGTGAAGCACAAGGTGAAGCTGAATGCTTGCTATGCACTGAAAAAGTGTTGCTAATCAACATTACTGCATGGTGTGGAAATCTTACCTCAGTTAAAAATATTCTGTATTATCAGTGTTTGAAAATGTAATGGCTCTTTATCTGTAAAACAGGTCTGTTCATAACAACTGAATGGTTTTAGAAAATACCGTTCTACTAAATAGTAGGTTTTCATTAAGCTGAATGTCGGCTTTAGAAAGTAAGTACTGCCTTGTACTTAACAAGATGTAATCTTAAAACTTACAAATGGGAGAGGAGAAGACAGACCATGAACTGCATCTGTTCTCTGGAAGCTACTGTATATCCCAAAGATGGATTTTAGCTTTGGAAAGATATCGGGCATTCAGTTAATTGATCACATAATCTCATAGCTCATGTAAAAAACAAACCCAAAAGGCCCATTTACACAACCAGTGAACGAGGTGAAGCTTTTGGTTGCAGGTATGTTAGCATGCCAAAATATTAGTGAATTCTGAATGTGAGGAAAAGTTGTGCTGGCTTCCCATGAACATGTATTTAATAGTCATCTGCCAGTTTAGATTAGTGGAATTTTAGTGGATTTAGATTAGTGGACGTTTAGATTAGTGGAAGCTGGGAAAATTGTACATAAAAGACTTTGCCCAGTTTTACTAAGCTTTTTCCTTGTCTGTCTTATATAGCTTGTGGCATAGGTTGATCATGCACTTCTGGCTTGACTCAATACGCCCAGCAAGTATTTACTGAAATAGCAAGTGAAATCTTAGCATGCGTCGCATCGGCCACATCTGAAGGAGGAGAAAATGTGATACATTAATACATTTAAAATTGAAATCTTAAACCTGACTCACATCCCAGTTGAAGGCATGATGAATTCTAGTAATCCACAGTTATATTTGGCTCATGTGAAGAAGTAATCTGACTTAGAGCAATGGGCTCTAGGCTCTGTTAATAGTACTTGAGGGGAGAGGGTCTGTTCTGTTAGTGAAGTAGGTATCACATGGAGCTTTTGTGCATGGGCACCATTTGTTTAGCTGTGGAGTAGTTCTCCTGCTCTTCACAGATGTCTTTTACAAGCAAAATGCAAGTACTTCTGGAGTGAAGAATTCGGTTACTTAGGTGGCTAGCAGTTCAGTTCTCAATGTGTCAATCTTAAACTGTGGTTTGAATAATTATGTTGATTTTTTTGTTTTTTTATTTTGACTTAAAAATGTTTCTGTTCTGCAGACAACTGTCCAAGCTGCCATGTATCCAAAAGCTGAAAGTTTTTGGTTTGGGGAAGGTCTGGAGACATATTTTGCTTGTCTGCATTTGTAACTCGACCCTAATTCCCAATATTGGAAATAAGCAAAAATATCCTAGCATTGAGTGAGCCTTAAAACGAACATTTTTTGGATTTTTTCTTAGAATCTTTAATGGCCAGACTGAAGCAGACTTGTTTTCTTGCAGAATAAATATAAATGCTCATACGTGACTGTGGTCGCCTTCCTAGGGAGGAGGTGTGTTCAGTGATCATCATTTCACCTGGTGCATCATAAGTGTGCTGTAGATATCTTGGATTTGTCTAAAAATGAGCGCATTCTCTTAACTCGTTATTTCTTAAAGAAGGAAACAAGACCTATTATACCTTACTCTTGTTCATCAGCATCTTGATCCTTAGCTATATTCCCCTGAGATAAGAGCTCATATGAGGAAGTTAAAATTGACCCTCTCGAACCTTCATAAGGTTCTAAGGTGCTGTGGGGCATCACGCTGCTTGTGAGATTATTTAGGATTAAAATTCAGTATTTTTGTGCATTCTGGAAAATGTCAATTACTAACTGAATTCTCCTGTCCTTTTAAGGCTTCCCACGTAGTAGTAGCTTGGATGTGATTCCATCTAAAGAAACGGATCACGGGAGAAGTACTGACTTGAGTAATCTTGATGATTTGAGTCGAAATAGTTTAGGAGATGTGTTTTCTCCAGTCAGAGATGGTAAGTGGCTAACACTGACATTTGCAAAGAATCATTCATCTGCCTGGCATTACATATTTGGCATTTGTGTTAAGGATTGCTGTATGTACTTGGCATTTTAATTCATCTTTGATTATTAACTGGATGCGGTGATATGAATATTGATGTAGATTTCATCTAGTAAACACTTTTAAACACTTTGAAACTTGTGGTATTTTGTAGATATTATTTCAAGTAAAGCAAACGAAGATCCTCCAGGAAAAGGAGATGGTAAGCATGCTCTCCCAGTGACTTTCTTGGGGATATTGGAGGCCCTCTCTTACATGCCAACTTTGTCATCCCAAAGCAGACGAGCAATGGGACCGTGCGGTGAGACAAATTAACTTTCACACATGTTGTCCAATGCACGGAACAGTTTAAGCCCAGCATGTGGTAATAGGAAATTAAATGTTATGGTCTTAAAGTAATTTTGTTTATCCTTAATTTATAGTGATATATAGAGGTTCTTCTAGGTTTTTCTTCTATAAAAATAGCTTCAGTGTAAGTTTGATTTGAAGCTTTTGGCAGGGTTTGTTCAGTTTTTTTTTTTTTTTTTTTTTTTTTAATCATTTTGGTTTTATCTCTCACCCTTCCCTTTTCATTTTAGGTCTGGATTTTCAGTCCTACCTTTCGGGTTTGGATTTTCTCCCACAGCTCCCCACTACTTTTCCAGTGAAAAGAAACCCAGTAGTTGGCAGTAGTGCACAGGGGATACGGTCTAGCCCGTTACATGTATTTGTAGCCTCTCCCATTAAAGAAGAGGAAGAACATACAAATCCAGAAGCTGACACTAAGAAAATAAATCTCGGAAAGCAAGAATCTGTAGAAGCTGTAAAGCAGGTATATTCTACTATTTTTTTTAGGTTTAGTCTTTTTAGAATTTGGCAGAATCCTACTACTTGAAAGAAAAATCCATGATAGTGTCTGAGCTAATTTAAAAACTCTCTTCGCACTGTTGGCAAAACCCAGTAGAAGTGTTTGTCACTTTACATGTGTTGTCCCTCAGTAATGCACGCTTACATATCATAAAGCTCTGTGTGAAACAAAACTGACCAAGCATGTGGATTATTTCTATTTTTCTACAAAATCCAGAATGATCATTTGCTCGTTCCACAAATGGCTCCTCTGTCCTTACTAGGTCGTTTCTCCCTCTTTTCTTCCCTTTCTCCCCTGTTTCCCGTAAAGCTTTTTCTTTCTTCTTGAAACACCTCTGAAAGGCTTTTATTGAGACCCATGCCCCATTTGTCCATTTAGGTGTTTGTAATTTACAGCACAAAATGTTTGATGGGAAAGTTGAGATGTTCTGGCCTTTTCATGATTGTGTGTTTATGTAAGATGTTCAATTCTTCAGAGATCTTGCTAATTAAAATAAATTTATATCTTACTATACATTTGTATTAATCTGTATATAAAGGTGTATATATATATATACATTTTGATTGTCAGCTCCCAAAAATGAGCTCCTCAAGTGCAGAATCCGGAACTTTGAGTCCTCCACTATCCTCCACTGCTATAAAGACTCCTGACACAAATGAGAGAATAGTAAAGAATATTCAGGCCAGTCTTGCATATGATCTACCCCTAAATGGCACTACCTCAACAAGTAAGTAAATCAGTTTTGTCCAGTTTTATAACTGATCAATTGTTAATTGATAGAAAATCAAATAAAGTGGTTGTAGCATCGGAATATCTGATCTTGATTTTTCTGTAGATCCAGTTAGACCCCCTAGGACATCTCTAATTCCTTCATGCCTTTTCCTTATGAGGAAAAGAGGGAAGGAAAAAAAAAAAGTCTTTATAAATCTGATCTTTTTTTTTTTTTTTTTTCTCATCAAGGTCCAAAGATAACATCACCTGTCACAGCTGGAGTTGCCAGTTCACTGTCAGAAAAAATAGTAGAAACCCTTGGGAGCAACAGAGCAAATGCACCTTTGACATCAATACAAATAAGCTTCATTCAGAACATGATACAAGACACACTGGATGACTTCAGGTAGTTTTATCCATGCAGATCACTTATCTTACAAGGAAAAAAATATTGGAAACTGTTTATCAGAAAACAGATTTCCTAACAACGTCAAGAAATGTCATTAATAGCTTTAGTCTTGGAAAAATATGTAGTAAATTGTACTCATTTTGAGTAATGATGCTGCATTAGATTGATGTCCCCAAGGGTTATTTGTGTGCATGGCTTTGGAATGTATTTTCAAGATGAGTGTTTGGGTACTTCTCAGATGGTAAACTTATCTGCAGAATGAGGTCCTTGCTGCTTCCTGAAGCCTTGTGCTGATTCCTCTTCCACCTTCCCCAGTCTCTAGTCTTAGTAGTGGACATTTCTTCTTTTAAAGTTGACATTGGAGAGTTGGATGTAGGCACTGCAGTGGGTTTGAGTGGTGCTAGCGTTGCATGTATGACATGAAACTTTGGGCACATTTTTATTGGAGAAGCTTTGCATGAAGCAATGTCTGTGCTGTTAATAATTGTATTTGTGGACATCTAGCAAAAAATACACTTGCTGCTTAAAGAAGCCAAATGAGCATAAATTAGGGATTTAGCAAGGAACGGTTTCAATTAAAATCTCTCTTTTTCCATCTTCTGTAATGAGCATGAAGTACTTCATGCCTAGGATTAAAAAAAAAATCCTTTTGAAGAAATTCCCCTTTATTTGCAGCTTTCAACATCCACTAAGGTTGCACTTTCCTCTGATGTCCTGGAAATTGTTTATTTTGTTGTCAGTTCTTCCTTTAGCTTTTTAATCCCCTGGACAACCTCGACGAAATTTGTAAGGACCAGAGGCTTAAAAAGTCCATTTTGCTTGAAACTGAGGACTAGATAGTGGAGAAGGAATCAAATTAGTGGGCTGGCTGCAGGGGAGAGACAGCGGAGCTCAGGTTCTGTGCAGTGGCAGGGGCTGCCGGGCTAATTGCTCAGCCCATAACTCAGAATTAGCGCAATGTGCTGCTTGCTTGAGGAGGAGAGCATCACGTGGGCTGTAATGCGGATTAGTCACCCTGTCCTTAGGAAATGAGAGTTCATTAATTCCTCTGTCACAAAACAGCTTCCTGTGTTAATGGCTCCTCAGGATTGGCCCCGAGTGCTCGCTCCAGCTGGGGGAACTTGGGAGGCTCTGCAGAAAGAGGGCCGCTAGTGAAGCGTGGCTCGCAGCCTCCTTGCTGCGGGCGCCGGGGCTGCTGTGTGAAACGCAGGCTTCTGCCGGGATTTCGCCTCCGCAGATTTTTGACCATCTTTTGTTACAAGCGTAGGCTGACTTGTTGCCTATTACAACTGCTATTCTGTTTCATTCGTTCTTTTGGGTCTTGCTGTGATTTTATTATTCCTCTGATGGTCCCAGAACTGATTTTCCCTTTTTCCCAGTGAAGCACCCACCTGGCCAGGTTGCCTTCAGGATCCTTGGGGCGCTTCCCAAGATCCCAAGGCTTCCTTTGGCAAACTGACTGTTTTTCCTCCCTCTTTTTCCCCAACTGTGTTAGTTGGCCTGGCAATTGAAAAGGGGAGTAGGAGGCAGTAAGAGAAGAGGCTCCACATCTGCCCCCACGTGTGGTGCGAGCCATTAAAACAGCTACTTGTGGCTCTATTAAATAAGCCAGTGACTGCTGACGGGGCTTGTAAATTGGTAATAAAGATTCAGGATGCAGAGGATGGAAACTTGGTGTCCCAGGTGAAGGGAATGAGACTGAATGGCTGTAATGCCCGTGAGGAAACCCTCCCACTTTACTTAAGCCACTGAATTTTGGTAATATCTGAGCCGCTCCTTAGCGTGGGTAGAATTAATTGTGAAGTAAGTTGTAATATGCGTTGCCTGTAGGCAAAGGGGGCAGGATGTGATAATCCCACAGGCTTTAAGATGCGTGGCTAGGTGACAAAACTGCATCTCGTCCTTCTTCGCTCTCTGCCTTGCTGTAAAGGTTCTGATAGTAGCAATTTTGTAGAGATTCCTGAAATGTGGACTAGGTCTTGGTCCCTAGTTATTGCTTTGCTTGAATTCTTCAGGACCTAAAGGCTGGAGGAAAACTGAAGATGAATAGCTTATCTAAAAACTATGGTTCTTTAGCTTTTGTGAATATAATTTACTGCTCAAGTAATTTTTAAATAATATGTTTTTCCTAGAAATCTGAAAATCGGACGGCCTTTCCTCCTCTCATTGCATATGTGTACAACTGTGCATTCAAAATACTATAGGCTGTTTTTTGAATTGCAAAAAGAGTTCTGGGATCTGGGATCTAAAACTGGGCATTCTTAAAAGCTAAAATTTTGATCTTTTTTTTTTTGAGTTTCTCTCATTGTTCAAAGTTGCATTATCTTCACAAGGCTCTTAAAATTCCATTAAAAGGGAATTATTAAAAGTCTTGGGATGGTTTTTTTCCCTGTCATGCTTTAGAGTTACACTGAAAGCTTCTCTTTAGATAAGGTGGTGATATGATGATTCTGCGTGCATAAGACAAACTTTTTTTAGGTGTAGAGACTGTTTTTGATAGAGGTTTTTAGTCTTTCACTGTCTGAGGTATTTAATTCTTGGCAGTAAAGTGTGTAAAATATAAAGTTTTTTTAAGCAGACTTATGGTATTCTTGATTATATTTGTTAGTTTTTAAATAACACCAAAATCTGCTCCCAAATATGGATCCATCCACAGTTGATAAGAATAACAGGAGGAAAGAAGAAAGAATAGTGCATGTCTAAAAGCAGTCTGAAGGAGATGGAGCAGCTGAGGAAATGTGTTCAGGGCTTCACTTCCCAGTCCTTCCTTAACATGAAGGAGGCTGGAGGTGAGGGGTGGAGGGGAAGAGCAGTGTTGTGGGGGAAGTGGGAGGGGTGGTTGTTGTCTTAAAGACAAAAAGCAGCATAAAAGCAGTTTGCTAAAACTGCTGTGCATTTATTTTTTTAAATTTTCACTGTTAAAAAATAGGTCTGTATGCAGTGGTCATTCTGCATCTGTCAATACTAAAACTGAACAAACTGAATGTCTATAAACAAGAATGTTGCACTCCTTACTTAATATTTGTGGACCAAAAAAAAAAACCAGGATGAAAAATGTCATTTTCTTGGGGGGGGGGGGCGGAAAAAAAAGGTCTTCCAGAAGCTAAGCTGGTTAGAGGAGTATGTTTCTTGCTTTAAAAGTTTTAAGTCTCTTATTTCAAGATGCAGGGAACATGGAGTGTGGAGTTCTGGACGTTTGAAGAATTTCTGCTTCCTAAATAAAACCAAGCACTGTCCTTTCTCTATTTCCCCCCCAGAGAAGCATGTCATCGAGACATTGTGAATTTGCAAGTGGAGATGATCAAACAGTTCCACATGCAGTTGGTATGTACGAAGAGCAGTGCGGGAAGTATTCACAACTTTTATTTTTAGTAGTAGACTATCAACTTAAGTCAAAACCAAAAATCAGTTTTGCTCATTAAGAACTAGAAGATACAAAGTGCAGGAGGAGAAAATGTGCCTAAATATTTTCTTTTTTGGCTCAATAAATAAAGGGACCATATGCATTGAGTAGGTATCATGAATTCCATATTTCAGATGTGAAAAGATTAAGGGCAGGTAAATTGAACAGTCCTTTGGAAAAGACCAGGAGCTCGGGTATGTTGGAATTAGAATTTAAGTAGGGAACTTCCTTTCCCAATACAGCATGCGTGCTGAACCGTGCTCTGTTCATTACCTTTACCTTTTCATGCATCTTTATTCTTTTGGGCTCCATTAAAAAGACTGAACATTTTAGTGGCAACTGCATTAATAAAGTCTCTTCCTGCAGACGTGTGAAATATGCTTTGATAAAATATTCACCAATGTATTAATGATCAAAATATTGTATGTCAGCATAACAAAATCTCACATTTCATACCCAAAGTTTAAAGATGTTATTATCTCGCTTGCTTAATTTTCAAAAAGGTTATAAAAATGGATAGGATAGAACTGGGAAACTTTATTGCTGCTGATTAGTTTTTTTTTTTTTCTCTTTTCTTTAGAATGAAATGCATGCCTTACTTGAAAGATACTCTGTAAATGAAAGCTTAGTAGCTGAAATTGAGAGATTACGAGAAGAAAACAAAAGACTGAGGACTCACTTCTGAGAGCTTCACACTGCTAATGTTATTGGCATGAACTCGCCACGTCTTGTTGCTTATGACAGATCATCCTTCATCACTGAAATGCTGTATGAAGATCAACTACTATCTTGAACATGAATCTTCTAAATAAATGGTGTAAGATATTATATTTAATTCTAAAATTTGTTATAGGTAAATAATGTATAAATATGTGCACATATTCACGGTAACCACCTTGAAATACATCCATCTAACAAAAAAAAAAGAAAAAAACCCTAAAAGGAGAAATACCTTACCAGAGTTTTAGGTATGTGAAGTGCCTTTTTATAAACAAAATGAATGAGGACAAATGCATCTTTAATATGACTTGCAGAGACCTGTTTTCCTATTTGCTTCTTCATTTTTCTGCTGTCAGAAACAATCATTTTAGGTAGCTTTGCAGATACTTTTGGAGAATAAGTGGGGAGAAGTCTCATTTTCTGTATGGCAATAACTTTGTTTCTAAGGAGCTGGAAAAAACTTTATCCAGCTGGCAACTCTTCTATCCTGAGTAAAACTCCAGTTCAGAAATATTCTCAGATTCAGTGCCATTATCTTGCTTATTTTCATAACTCTGAAATGTACTTGTCTACATGAGTTTTGTTGCTGAAAATGCAATCTCAACCGCATGAAATTTTGTAACTTTAGTTTTGAAACTAGAATTCTTTTATTAACATATACTTGAATATTTTCATAACTTTCCCAATTTGAATGTAGCTTTAGCCTTCAAAATGTAAGTAAACTCAGCCATTAATAATATATTATTGTGTAAGTGGGATCTTTCAGACTTTGACTCAAATATCTTTTTCTTCCTTTGCATTCGTGGTGGTCAAAACTTGGCGTGTCACCGCTGGGCTGTATTTCTGACGCTTGCTGTTTTAGCAGTATTGCAGCCTTTGCCTTAGATGAGCTCCACACCAAAGCCAGCTCTTGCCTCAGCCGTCGGGTTAACACAGCAAGTGATGCTGAGGAGGAATCATGAGCCCAGGAGCATAATGCTGCCGGGCGGGTACGTTCCCCTCTCTGAAGCAGAGGCCAGGATGAAGTCCTGGCTTGGCTGAAGTCCATAGGAGGTTTTGGTTGCCCTTTAGCAGTGCCAAGAGACTATCCAGACTCCGACTGACAGTTCTCTGGAAGGCCTCTGCTGCAAGTGCTTCTTGGCATTAAATTCTTCTGGGGGGCCTCTTAATTTTCCCACTAATATTGGACCCTTCTCCCTCTTCCACCTCCCCAAACAAATAATCATTAAAACTTGAAAAGGCTGGAAGCATAATTGAGTTAATTAGGTAGAGCTCATGTTTAATTATATCATGACACTCTTCCACTAAATGGCAAAGCCATAGTATATAGCGTAACTTATTTGAAATGTTGTAAAACTGCAGCATAACTATTTGTTGAAAGCTACCTTTTCTATCTTTCCTGTAACTTTTTTTAAGGAAAGGATTGATACTTTATTTTTCTAAATGCCAATCAATGACAAATACTATTCTTGTATCAAAATGAGAATGTTCATGTTGTCTTTAGTATTGCAAACAGCATTTAAAATGTCTGCAGTTTTATTGCTGCTGCTTTCATAAGCTTTTTAAAAATATTTTCTAAATAATGTATAACCAGGATGAAAGGAAGCCGCATAAGTTAAAATTATTTTTAGTGGCTTAACACAAAGTGTAGGGAACATTTTTGTGAGTTTGTAAAATGTGTAAGTTGAACTGACTCATTACTAACCACAGTTCTTCAAGACCGTAGTACCTGGAGGTAGCAGGAGTATCTTACAGTTCTCCAACATGTTTCGCAATGTTAACAAAGTAACTTTGCATATTTGAATCTCTTGGTGTCTTCCCCAAGTGCTCTTCCTAGTATACCCAGATGACAGCAGGGAATTGAACTAAGTATCTTGGGTATTGGGCTTGTAGATAACTTGTTTTCTTGATTCACAACTGTCTGATATACTCCAACTGTCTGATGTGCTCCTTAGCACCCAAATGGAGGAATTATAGCAAGAATGGATGGGAAAAAAAAAAAAAAAAAAAAGGCTTTTCTTTTTTAGGGATTGTTTCCATATCTCAGGATTGCTGTAGCACAAGTCATGATGTACTGTATGGTATGCTACACAGACACAATATGCTATTCTAGAGGTATGTCCTGCCTGATACACAAATCTGATTTGTATGTAAAATAAAGTTTGTTTTAACCTTTCAGAACAAATGCTGTAGTTACCTCTTCTTTACTGAGAATAAACTGTATTGTAGTTATGCTACATCACAGCAGGCTCCTAGAGCCAAAGAATTTAGAGAGATCTCTAGATTTTTATTTATTTATTTATTTATTTATTTAATAGCACTCTTTTTGTTGCCACTGGTATTTCTACCTAGAGCATCAGCTCCTTTTCACAGCTGTCTTTCTGTTGCCTCATGCTTTTGCAGTAAAGAACAGATGTACATTTTCTTCCAAGTTGGAAATTGCTGCAGTTATGACTGAGATAACGTTTGCAGCTAAAAATGATATTAAAGCAGAGGTTTGTATGCAGGAATAATTTTGTCACCTGGTGAGCAGGAGGTCATAGAAGCTGTGCCTTCCTACTTTGATGATGAATTGTTTACTGCCCCTTCTATACAAGGATCTGTGTTATCTATATGATATCTATACAAGGATATATGCCCTCTACCCAAGGGCAGATGAAAAGGAAGCAAATGCTTTACAGAGTGCATCACTACGCACTACCCCCCCATGCTGAAAGTTCAGAGGAAAAACACAGCTACTGTGTATGACTGGGGACATTGCCTGTCAGCTGCAGCAGCACTAGGTGCTTGCCCACCAGCACTGTGGGCCTCTGTGATTGTCACGGGCCCCTGTCAGGAGCTGAACGTTTTGGTCTGGCCTCTGGCCTGGAAATTTTTACATTATTTTGTGCAGAGCAGCTGGTGGATACAGCTTAATGAATTCTTACATAATGAGCTGTGGAAGGAATCTTCTGCTTGTACTCTAGCCATCTACTGCCAGGCATTGCTATGACAAGATATCACAGTGAAAGGCAGGAATAAAAATTGTGAAGTATTTTGTGATAAGCTGGACGATTAGGTATGAGCCTTGTGGCAGGAAGGAAAGAGTACCTTCCCTCTTACCCTCAAGTTATAGGCTGCTATGTGGAATTTCCATTTCTTCCCCCTGCAATTCACCTACAGGTAGAAGAAGTAATGTTTTCCAAATAAACCATCAAAAAGCATTTATAGAGCAGTGGATGTAACAACCTGCATTTGAAAGAAGTCTTGCTCTTCAAAAGTGTTCGTATGTGTGTAAAGAGAGGGGAGATGAGAAGTTGTTCCTAAGGTTCACTGGTCCAGAAGGCAGCTACCATTTGGTAGCAAGCTTAAAAACCTCCACTCAGTCTGCAAAAACTTCCAGCTTTTTCTCTCTCCTTCAGTGTTCAGACAACTGATGAGTAGAGCAAAGGGAAAACAACTGTAGATTCTTGAAGTGTGTCCAGTAATCCCAGCAGCACTTTAAATATCCGCACCTAAATGGAAGTATATCATGTAATGAAGATCTGGACAAACTGTAGTGGGAAAAGTAGAACTGGTGTAGGAACAGATCTCCCTTTGCCTCTACATTGGCCATCTACAGGCAGTTCCCATCTCCCACTCTTGTGTTCGTGTTAGTGGAATGTTCTTTAGCTCTGCACTTATAAAAAATATGTGTTACCTAATACAGGGTAAAAGAGTTTCAGAATTCGTTTTCAAAAATTTGTGTTACCAGAGCTCAGTGTACAGAATGTACAGAGAACAGTGAGCTCTCACTGCTATCACGGGAGATGGTTTTTGATAATACTGAAGTTACAGAAGGCGAGCTGTGTTTTCTGAAAGTAAGTTCTTCCCAAAGTCTCAGATTGGCTGACCAATTGTTTGAGAGTCTTGGGTTAAGTCCTACCACTGTTTTGGGAGCAAAAACATGCAGATAAAAAAAGGAAAACTGTTTCTAGTCCACGCTCAGCAGAAGTAATTCTGGGTTTATGCTGTGGCAATTTTCATCTCTGATCATCTTTATCAGTCAAAATGCTGAGATAACTTATTATCCAAGCATATCTCGTTAAACAGAATGGTGCAAGACCTATATAGTGCTTTAATGGAGTGCTTTCATCTGCCAATTAATCTGTCATCCACAAGTGTTTCAAACTACCCCTGTTACACAAGTGTCTGCAGGAGTTGGCCTGTAGTAATTTCATTACTGAAGACTTGTAAGAAAGGCAAATTTGGATCAAGTAGAGCCTGCAGCCTTGCACCCCAAAACACGAAATTGGCCTTTAGAGGACATCATGTAATGCTGAAGCTCACCCTCCAAGTTCTCCCACAGTGTGCGGAAGGATTAGCACTGTCCAAAATATTTGTGCTCTGAATTTGGATGTCTTTCCAGCTCTTCAGGTCTGTGGGAAAGCGACTGACCCTTAGCAGTAACAACTGGATACCTCCTTCTTCTCAAAGGCATTTGGCCCCACTGCCAGATCCGCCCTCCGAGATGGTGCAGGGCACAGCCTCATTCTGCACAGCAGCACCAGGCCAGTTCCCCTCTGTGAGGGCTCCTTCCCTACACAGGTGCTCTGCTGTACTTAGCTGAATTTGGTCGTACAAATGGACTTCACATGTTATGAGCAGTGGTATTGGAGTGGCCTTTGCCAAGTACCACCTGTAACTGCTGTGCAAGTTCAGTGCTACAAGTGCTCTGGGGTCTCTTCAGAAGATATGCAAGAATGAAGCACACACATAGACGTATCACTGCGACTGAACAAAGTAAGCACTGTTCTTTATTTTCATAAAGTTAATATGTAGTTAGATTGAACATAGGAAAAACTAATTAATTGCTGGAGATGGTATTGATCTCATGTATACTGACAAGCCAAAGGGTGTGGTATATATATTAACTGCTTACAGCAGTTGATTTACTTATTTAAGAAAGTGGCAGCTGCGTAGCCAATTTTGTAGGAATACATAGCACATTGCGATGGAGTTTGTGGCTTGCTGGAATTTCACTCCTGGCATTGACCAAGGCTTTTATAGAAATGTCCAAAAGTTCTTCACCATCTAACAGGTCATCTGCATCAAAATATTTCACTCGGCTTAAGACTAAGAGACAGAAATATTTCAATTCTAGCCCTTGGTCATTTCTAGCCCTCAGTCTCTGTACCAATGATTTGGTTTACTTGTAACTTTTGAGCATTCATGTCTCTACATCCATAGCATCAGTTATCAGACGGCGTACTGAACAGGACCTTGGAGATCTGTCTTTCTAAAAGACTTTTTTTGGAGTGCCAATTTTGATGTCGCCTGTTAGCTTAATGGCTTCCTTTCCGAATGGAAAGCATTACTGATGAAGAGTCCGCCTTTCAGATCCATTGCATGGTGTATACATCTTGCCAGGGATTGAAGCTGGGCTCTGGCAACCAGCCTGTCCTTGTTGAGCACAGCATTCTTAGAAAGAAAAGGGGAGAGACAGACCTATTTGATGACCAAGCAATTAACCTGCTTCACCTGCTAATCCACTTTGAAGATGGGGACCTTGAAGTTGCAATTGAGGAGAAAATCTTAACTACTAGTGCAAAAGCTCCTCTCAATTGACCTGCTTAGAAAAATCCTTTTAATGTCTCCCTTACACAGGAGGTCAGCTGTTTCATATTTTTCTAAACCAAAGCTTCTTTTCTGGCCTTCGTTTTTCCTAGTAAATTGCTAGGCAGGAACGTAGTCTAGGGATGACAAAGCTTGGCTAATAGCAGTGAGTTCCAGGTGCAGAGGAAAAGATGGAGACATTTCTTGTCCCTGTTGCTGTGTGTTAAGTGCATCTCAGAATAAAAGCAACTCTCAAAGGATTTACAGCCCTTGCCACACACTGAGTCCCTGCATTGAGGATTCGATAATAGGAGTCCTCCAGGTCCTTGAAATGCTTCTTTCAGTGAGCATCCACTCCATCACACCGAGGCTAAGCACAGGCAAACTTTTCTACCCATACGCTTATCTCAGCCACCTGTTGGGTCTTTCTGATAATGCCACAAGTTCCAGGAGAAAGAGCGGTACAGTCGGCTGTTGGTAATACCTCAGCCAGAAGCATCAAATAGTCCTCCCTAAGGGTGAACCAGCTGCATTAGTAAAACTTTGGAGGACTCGTCAGAGGGGTTTTCAATGGAAATAAAAGAAGGTCCAGGGAGCTGTGTGATGAGCACAGGTGCCATTAAGGTAGGGGCATGGCCAGAGCTAAACATGTCAGGGAAGGGAACCAGTGGGGCTGCCTCTCACTGGGGACATGGCAGCGAGGAGGCTGTGGGGCAGCCAGGATGGCCACTGCCACCCATGCAGCCTGGGTAGCGTTTCACCATCGTTTGGGACCATCGTCCATGGGTCCCCCCCGACCCCAGCACGGTCCTTCCTCCCGCCCGCGGCCAGCGGCTCAACCCCGTGCCGAGGCGGCGGCGGCGAGCGGCCGCGCGGGGCGCCACCCAACGGCCGCGGCGCCGGCCGTTACGGCCGTTAACGGCCGTTAGCGGCCACGCTGGGGCGGAGGCGGCTGGTGCGGCGGGCGGCAGGGGCGCCATGGCGCTGGCCGTGCTGCCATCGCCGCTCTTCTCTTGTCTGTTTTCTAACTTCTCCTCGCAGAAAGATGGGATTTATGTTTAGCAAGCGCCACGCAGCGATTCTCAATAAATAATTAAAAGGAGCCTTTAAGTGCCTAATACCACGCATTTTGCGCAGCTTTCCACTTTTGTTCCCATAAAAGAGTCTGCATGAAAGACAGACCTTTGATTTAAAGGTGTTTTCGACAACCTTCCAAA